ATATGTATATATATATATATGTATATATGACAGGGTTTGCCATATGCTACCTAACCCTGTAAATTGTTACTTTTACATATATATATATATATATATGTATATACATATATATACATATATATATATATATATATATATATATATATATATATATATATATATATATATATATATATATATATATATATATATATATATATATATATATACATATATATATGTAAAAGTAACAATTTACAGGGTTAGGTAGCATATGGCAAACCCTGTCAAAAATTATTCAAAATTTATAGTAATGAAAAAGGATAGAGTAATAAGAATATTTTAATAAAGCCCATTGCAGATTTTTATAAATTTACAAATCATAAAAAAAAATTTCTTGACCTTGAGTGTTCTAAACGACATTCAAAGTTTTAAAATTATTATTGGGTTTGATCTGTTTGATTAAACCTAACTTACATCAGTCCAAGCCTTCCCAGGAAAGGCGTGCGGTTTTTCGTCTCATATGACCACATACGATTATAATATTTTAGAAAATGTGAACACTGCCGTTTGCAAATTTTATAATAATGCTGAAAAAGTTTCAAAAACAAAAAAACAAAACTAACAAAATAAAAAGAGGTTGAAATAGAAAAAAATAAAAACAAATTAATAATTTAAATTATTTGTGTACTGTTTTTATTTTTGTTTCTTTAGAGTTACATTCAGCAACAAAATTAGATAAGGCGAATCAAAAAAAAAAACAGTTTGAAGTCTACAATAATAAGAATGATTTTCCTACTTTTAATATTTTTTTTAAGAGGATAGCAAAAATACAAATTGCAATGTGTTTGTAAAATTTATTTGTATAATTTTAATGTAACAACAAGGGTTGAATTAAGCGAATGCAAAACGCAAAATCTGGAAAAATATCTAGTATTTAAAATTTTAGTTTAAATGAAGAATCAACTTAAATTTGTTAGCGAAAAAATAAAAAATAAAACAATAAACTTACGATAACAAAAGTAAGAACATTCTAGTCACTAACTGCATTACAAAAGTAGAAACACTATAATAGTGTTATTACTTTTATAACGCACTTATAACTTTTAAAATCCATTCTTTGTTCAAGCAACATTAGTATTCCTAGATTTTAATTGAAGTAGGAAAATATCTAGAAGAATAAAGTGGATGTTCAAATAATATTAAAGTTAAAGTAATTTATAAAAATGTAACAAACAACTTTATGAAAACGTATCGTATTAAAAGTTTAGCATTATGAAATACGTTACTAATGGACCATATAAAACCCGCGTTAATTTTAAAATTAACCAATAAAAAAATTTTATTGGTTGACTTTAAAATTAACGCGCTTTTTTATGTAACATTTTTCATAATGCTATACTTTTTATAGAGTACTTTTTTATAACGTTGTTTAAGTGATATGTAAAAGTTCCTGAAATTTTAAATAATATTTGAATATCTGCTTTATTTTTTCTAGATGCTTTTCTACTTTAATAAATGTTTGGAATTAATAATGTTGTTTGAACAAAGAATGAACTTTAAAAGTAATAAGTGCTTTATAAATTTAATAACACTATTATAGTTTTATTACTTTTACAATGCAGTTTGTGACTTAAGCGTTATTACTTTTATAGTCGTAAGTTTATTGTTTTTGTTTTGTTTTTTGTAACTTTCTCGCTAGCAAACTTTTAAAAATTTGCTCCTTATAAACAAAGTACACAGCTTTGCATGAACTAAAATTTTAAAGACCTAATATTTTACCAGAGTTTGCAAATCGTGATTGTATAATTTAATTCTTGATATAAACTTGTTACATTATAATTATACAAATATATTTTACAAACAGATGACGATACATATTTTTTATTTCCTCTTTAAAAGAAAAAACACATAAAATATGGGAAAGTCATTCTTTTTAACGCCTAAAACGTTTTTTTGACTTAATGAATTTCGTTGCCGATAGTAATAACCACTAAGAAAAAACAAAAATAAAAGCAACACATAAATTATTTAAACTATTATTATTGTTTTCTATTTAAGTTTACTTTAATTGCTTATTTAGTTATTAAATTTAAAACAACTTTTCAGTAACGCATATAATATAACATGCCCAAACCGCCGTAATCACGTTCTTTAACTTAAAAAACGTTTTCGTGGTCGTACGAGACAAAAAACCGCACGCCTTTCCTGGGAAGGCTTGTCAGTCTGTTGCTATTAGTTACCAATTGATATTAAAATATTTTTAAATAATGTATAAAAAATCGAAAAATATGATTAAACTCCTTGCAACTCGCTGGAAAATTCTTACAGAAAATTTTCACTTTTTTCATTTTAACTATCATCATACTTTTTACACGCCTTTTAAAAAGTTCATCACAATACTTTTTTAAAACCTTGTTTTGTCCTAGTTAAGAATTATTTTAAGTTCATGATCACAGCTTTCTGCTCCAAAACATTAGAATTTTTCCTATAACTTATTATAGGAGAATTATTTTAAGTTCATGATCACAGCTTTCTGCTCCAAAACATTAGAATTTTTCCTATAACTTATTACTTATTATTGCTTCTCTAAACCTTTTAGACTTCCAAATCATGAAAAAAACTTTTGAAAAACATTTTAAAGAAAACCTCTGGGGAAAAACAACATTCCTGTCTGATTCTTACAAAACTCAACCAGCTCTTCAGATCTCTCTTCTAAATTCTCTAAACTATTTATCAAGTGTTTAACTGAATTTTGATTTTCTGCTTGCTGGAAAATGATATCCGTTTTTCATTTTTTAAAAACTCTGAAGAAAATCTTCTTAGATCATTAGCACACAAACTATTTTCTAAGAAACAATTCCTCTCATTCTCTGAGTCTGACAACTTACTTTCTGACAATTGATATAATTTTTGATCATGTCAATCTACAGCTGAACAGCTGAACAATTGAAAAAAAGGGTTTTATCATTAATTAGATAGAAGCGGTGAGGCAAAGCTTATTTAACTTACTAGTATTAAACCAATTCAAAACAATTTATAAAAATCAAAATAACAGCATTACTCAAGCATATGCAGATATCCTTGTCTGAAAAGTGAAAATTATTTTTTGTGTATGAAAAGATTGTACTATGAGTCACAACGATTATTTAAACCACTGTTGTGGCTCATAAGCTGTTTAGATTATAGAAAAGTGTATCGTAAAAATGTTTCCTTTATTACCATTATTATTTTTTAATGTATGTATATATATTTATATATAATATTGTGTATTTATTTAAGTAATTGATGTCATACTGAAATAAGAAGTAGCGAGAGCTTCAGTGCATACATTAACTGATTATCTATGGCCAGATGATTGCCTCATAAGATTAAGGTGGTGTGAGGAGAGAATTGGATAGTCTTAGGAAAAATAGAAGCAAGTATTTTTTAGTGATGAAAGTAATGTTTAAAGTAATGAATGGAAAATTCTGGTTCTGTTGACAATTTTAAACAAAAAAGTATAGTAATTGTCTTGTACCAAATTTGCAAAAGTGGTGGTGGGAGTGTTGGCATTTGGGGGTGCTTTAATTGTAATGATGTAGGTGTATGTAAAACTTATAAAGATTAAATCAACCAACATACGCATATAGACACTAGAGATGGTTCCATCAATAGACGTGCTAATTAATTGAAATAAATGAAATCAATTACATAAATAAATAAAATAAATGAAGTCAATTAAATCAAAATTTGGAACCTGTCCACATAGTTTGTGCTGTTTAATTGCACGAAATGTGACAAACTGCAAGAAATAAAAAAAATTAAGTAGATTTATTTCCCTGGCTAGCTCAATCACAAGATTTGAGTCCAATCAAATCTATTTGGGATAAAATGAACAAATAAATAGACAAGATCTGAAAAAGATCCATAACCTAAAGCAAGAAGTAGATACCACTTGGAGAAGAATTTAAAAAAAAAATTGTTAAACAAATACAAAAGAGTTCAGAACAACAATCTTGTTAAACTGATACAAAAAAGATACAAGTGTTTCATCAATCAATCAGAAATAAATGCTTAAAGTAATAAACTTATTAATAAACTTAAGACATTTATGACTGCAAGTCATAAATGTCCTAACTACTGTAAAATTTCACACCAAAGCGTAACATATTTGTAAACTATATTTACACTACTGAGTTCAGAAGTATAGTTTTTTACTGCATTATTTTTTACATAAAAAAAATTCTGGAATGTAGAATCCAAGAAGTTCATCATTTTTGACATTTTCAATAAAAATGCAAAATGTAAAATATGCATAATGCAATATGCTTGTTTTTTTTTCTAATTTTTTTTCTGAAAGTAGCAAAAAATAATTTTAAATTTTTTCCTTACTTTTCTTAAACTCCCACATCTAAATACTAGTTAAACTTTATAAAGTAAAATACTTTATGACTTGACTTTGATAATGTATGATATTACAATTAGCTTGTCTAAAGATACAAAAAATTTTAAGCAGTCATTTTTTTTTGTATAAATAAAAAAAAAATAACTGCTTTTTTTTGAATCTATGTTATGAAACAAACTTCAACTTGCAAATGATCATGTATCACTATGCCAAAAGACAAACAAACAAATCATAAACTTTGTGTTAAAAACCAAAGAAAAAGTACAAAAACACTTATTAAAATCATACAAAAATAGGTGTAATGATTGCTAACAGGCCTCAAGACATCGTATATCAAAACTAGGGTTCAAATACTGCAGAACTGGAAACAAACCTATAAGGCACTCCAGCAATAAAATCAAAGCTAAATGCTTTATAATTTTATAATAGTGGGCAAAATAATACCAACATGTCTACTGAAAATTAGAATAATGTAATTAAATATTTATTTAGTTGTATGTAAAAACATTGTTAATTTGAAATTAACTATGTTTAAAAACCTATATAAGACATCTAAAATTGTGTATAAGATAATATTATTAAAAAATATATTTATTATTTTAAAAAATAAAACAGAAATTAAAAAAATATATACTTTTTGAAGTTTCCATAAATACAAACGCTTTAAGTAGTGCCATGGAAATCTAATGTTAAATATTTATATAGCATATATAAAACATTTATTAAAAACTATTATTTACAACATATATTTTAAAAGTATTGTAAATATAACAAAAATAAACAATATGGTTAAGATGAAGAAAGAAAGCCTACCTCTTTGATTTCGTTTATTTTTAAACAGTGCATTATCTTCTGAAAGAAGCACTGTTTGAAAATAAGGCTGTTTTTAATACCCATTTTGACAGATTATTAAATTATGATGTAAATTTAAGCAAGCAGAACTATTAAGGAGGAAAAGGAGTCATGGCAACACTAATAAATATTGTTATACATTTTTCGAAAAATTTATTTTAGAATTTATTTTAATACCTTAGCTTAAGCATTAGCTGGGTTAGCTTGGGTATATAACAGTTAAAATTGTTTAAACATAACAAAGAATTTATTTTAATATCTTATCGAAGCATAAGTAGCTTGGCAAATTTTTTTATTTTTATTTTGATTCACCTCCTCAAGGTCGAGAAGGCCACTACAGACAAGGAGGCTACTTATTTGTGGCTATAACCCTCTCTCAACTCTATAACTCCGAAACACGAACCTTGATAAACAAGGCCGCTGCGCGGAGAAACAAGTTGAGCGCGGTACTACCAGGGACGTGGTGGAGATCGAACTCAGAAATATGTGCAATATTCTCTTATTGGTAAGTCCTCCGCTTGGATAATAAAATATTTTTTTTATTTTTCAACCTTTTCAATTTTTTTAAAATACAATAACATAAACACAAAAATTAAAAAACAAAACAGTTTAATATTATAAACACCAAAATACGATCCTTACCTATTGCCAGTAGTACTGACGTTTACATTTACAGATGTTTGTACTTAATGTTATATAAGTGGATTTTTTACATTTTTATATTCTTTTTTTTATTCTTTTTTGCATTTGTGTGTTGCATCTCTATCAATAATAAAGTTCTATTTAATCGTAATTTATTTAAATGTACTTTTAAAACTCGCATTTTTTTGAAATTGTGATTTTCAAATATTTCTTTTAAATTTTAATGCAAAAAAAAAAAAAAAAAATTTTTATTTAGTTGCAATATACTTATTTAGAGTATCTGCTTAAAAAATGTTGAATCCTTACCATCTGTATAAAATGTTCATAAAATGGCTTGTTTTTCTTCAGTACATATATCTTTAGTAGCTCAGTAGTTAAGTGCGTGGCTTTAGCACAAAATTTGAATGTTTTGGTTCAAATCATCGCTAAGCTTATAAACCTATTTTAGTTTTTTGGTGATTTTTTAAATACAAAAAACAAAACAAAAAAAACAGTTAAAGCAAAAAAGACTTGTTAGAAAATTTCTTAAAGTTATTTTATATTATACATTTATTAAACACAATTGTTACTCAAATTATGCTACAGATGTTAACACAATCGCTACTTAACTTAAAATAGTGACATTTACATATACAGACATTTCCACATAACACTATACAATTGGAATTTTTACAGTAAATGTAAATGACATATTGTTATCAATTTACTAAATATAAATGACATATTGTTATCAAGTTACAAATTTACATAAATTTCTTATACTTCTATATTGACTATAAAAAACCATTAGAATATATTTTATTTTCTAATTTATCTTATATTTTGTTATAAACTTAATTTAAAACGTTTCCAAAAAATAAAATTAATATATATATATATATATATATATATATATATATATATATATATATATATATATATATATATATATATATATATATTTGTTTTGTTTGTTTTAAATGAATATTTTAACAGAATATACATTTCAGTTATAAACAACTGCAATCATTGTGTGACTACAATAAAATTTAAAATAGTATAAAATTAACTATATGCGATTAAAAGTATAAAATATAAATTAATTAACATTACAAAATATAAAATGATTTAAATAAATTAAGGTTTTTTCACTTCTTGCTTCTTTTGTTAAAAGATTGTAAAAAACAGCGCCTGAGTTATAAAATGTCTTTTTTGTACTTTCCAGCTTTATCTTTGGAATTACAAGAGATAGATTATTGATACAAGTTTGTTTTAAGTGTTTTTGAATAGTAAAATAGTTTTTGAAATTGCTACACATGGTCCCACTCAAACATTCAGGCTTCAGCAGGAATGGCAATGGAGGCGAATAATCTATATTCGCCTCCATGCCTGTGTTAGTCAGTTTACACAGGCAAGATAAAACCTGTGCAAAATATAAAATTTTTGGTAAAAAATGTTAAATGTGTTGGTGTTTTTTATTTAGTTATTCTTAAAAAAACTTCTCACATGATATAATTTCAGCATGGACATCAGACTTCAAGTTTTAAACTGTTTTTTTTTTTTTTAAATAAAAATTTACTTAGCATGTGCAAAAAAAATTTAACTACTTAAGTTTTTTTAATAATTTGCTGATCTCCTACTTGTTATTATATAGTTAATACCTAAACTTTCATATTCAATAAAATTTTATTTACAAAGAAGAATAGAAATTAATGAACTTTTATTACAAGTAAGATCAATCATTTTTATAAAACAATATAATGTATATTGCGTTTTTATAATGTTATTTTCTTAAAGTGATTGATCATGTTATTACAATTAATAAATTATTAAATATAAAAATAATATAAAAATTAATTAAAAAAAAAAAAAAAAAAAGAGTAGGATAAAATCAAATTTTTTTTAATTAATGATTTTTGACTTTTTATTAAATTTTGTGTTAAATTAAGGTGGTTGTCTGTGATTACTCCTATGAAGAAAATTTTTTTTACTCATTTATTTAACCATAAAATTAGAAAAACTACAATTTTTATAATTTCTTCAAGATGTTGTTATCCACAATATCATCAATATCATCAATAATTGGGTTTTTGTCAGGGTTGGCAAAAACCCGTTTTTTTTTAAAAAAAAACCCGGCCCAGTGGTTTTTTTTTGGGTAATTTTGGGTTTATTTGGGTATTATTGGGTTTTTTTGGGTTTTTTTTCTTTCTTATTGTTGTTAAAAATTTTTTTTTTTTTGTTTAATAATATTGAAAACTAATATCATTTTTAATTTTAAGTTTAATTACAATATATTTTATAAGTTTTTAAAATTTATACACCTCAAATTATTTTCAATAAGTTTTTTTTAATTACAGTTTAAAAAAAATCTAAAAATGTAACAACATAAAAAAAAATCATGATAAACCTATATGTATTGATTTATTTTAGATTTAATAATATTTTTTATAATTAAAAATGCCGATGGGAAGTGGGAGAAAGAAAGCTGGAGAATGGGATGAAGTGACTGAAGTTGAAAACAGTATAAAGGTTTCATGTGACTATTGTCATGCTTTGATTAGCAACAAGATGGAGCAAGTAAAACCCCATTTTACCTTGTAAGAAGCAGCGGTTGATGTCATCGTACACAATATCAACTAATATGGAACAGAAAGAAAATATTGATATAAAAATAGCAAAATTTTTCTTCAGTGCAAATGTATCATTTAAAACTTCTGAAAATCAAGAATTTATAGACTTGATCAAATCATTGAGACCAGAATACAAACCACCTAACCGTAAAATGCTAGGAGAAGAGCTCTTAGAAAAAGTTTATGAGGAAGTAAACAAAAAAATGATGGATTAACTTACCCAAGAAGAGAAAACAATAACAATTATGCAAGACGGATGGAGTAGTGTTACTAATGATCCCATTATTGCTCACAGTGCATATGACGGACTTAATTCTAAAATTTTATGCATTACTGATTGTGCATTAAATAAAAAAACAGCCAAGTATTGTACCGAACTCCTTTGTAATGTCATTAAAGATCTTAAAGAAACATACAATAAAGAAGTGTTTGCTGTGGTAACAGATAATGAAAATAAGATGAAAAAAATGAGGGATTCAATCAAAGAAACGTATCCAAATCTTTTAACATATGGGTGTTCTGCACATTATTTAAACCTTTTAGAAAAAGAAGTAACACACCCAGATGTCATCAAACATGTGGTTGAGGTGCAGAAATATTTTCGTAATACACATCAACCGCATGTAAACATTTTGTATTTGTGGGTTAAACTTAAAGTATAAAAAACATATAAAAGTTTAAAATTAACTATTTAATTTTTATTTTAAGGGATGGTTGCGTGAGAAAGGAGGGCATATGCCTCAGTTACCAAACGATACCAGATGGAACTCCCAAATTGACTGTATAGAAACATACATAAAAAACTACCAAATTTATGTAGAAATAGTAGATAATCAGAAAACCTATCAAAAATACCTATCAAAATCAGAAAAATTATTGAAAATCAAGCAATATTTAGAGAAGCTAACAGTCTTCAAACCCAACTCAAAATATTTGGTGTTGTTTTAGATAAATTATTTAATTTTTTTTATATTAAAGTATTTTCACATAATAAGATTTTGTAGGTGTAAAGGAAAAGTAATAAAAATAAACCCTGAACTAAGTCATTACCACACAGCTATCAAAAAGAGATGTAATGATGCTATGACACCTATCCATTAACTTGCATACATGACCAATCCTCGTTTTTTGGGTAAAAATAAGTTTTGCTTTAAAAAAAAAAGTTTTGCTTTAAAAAAAAATTGTTTTCATACCTATATGCTAATCTGAATTTTTTTTTTAATAGGCAAAAACCTGCCGATTGAAAATGAAGATGAGGCTGAAGAATGGCTTTACAATCATTATCCTGAGTTTGTACCTGGGTTGATTTTGCTTAAATTAAAGGATTGTGATGCATTTCTTCATAGGAGTAATCACAGACAACCACCTTAATTTAACACAAAATTTAATAAAAAGTCAAAAATCATTAATTAAAAAAAAATTTAATTTTATCCTACTCTTTTTTTTTTTTTATTTTTAATTAATTTTTATATTATTTTTATATTTAATAATTTATTAATTGTAATAACATGATCAATCACTTTAAGAAAATAACATTATAAAAACGCAATATACATTATATTGTTTTATAAAAATGATTGATCTTACTTCTATGTTATAAAAGTTCATTAATTTCTATTCTTCTTTGTAAATAAAATTTTATTGAATATGAAAGTTTTGGTATTAACTATATAATAACAAGTAGGAGATTTTTTCTGAATTGATTTTTTATTTCTCTGGTTAATCAAGATAATTGATAATCAAAATAAAATTGTGTTAAATAAAAATAATGTTGTGTTTAAATTGAAAATTTCCCTTTATAGCTAGCTCTATAATAAGTTTTTAGATATATTTCAAAAAAACCCAGATTGCCTGGGTTTTATTGGGTTTTTTTAGGTGGATTTTATTGGGTTTTATTGGGCAGGTTTTGTTGGGCGGGTTTTTTAATGCCAACCCTGTTTTTTTTGCTTTTACATAACATATTACAGTTTTCTATTTTCGAATTTATTACAAACATTTTTCTATTTTGACTTTTCGTTAATTTTTTTTCAAACTTTTATTCTAAACAATTTTTTTTTATTTTATTTTTCCTCATTTATTTCTTTTTCTCCTTTTCATTGTTAAAAAATACTTCCTCCATTTACTGGCATTGCAAAGTGTATTAGTTATATTTAACATGCTCACTATCCAGGGATGCAAATCCCTGGATAGTGAGCATGTTAAATATAACTAATAACTTTCAAATCCTGAGTCTAAAAGAGGACTCAGGATTTGAAAGTCATAAAAAGATTACTTCTTCTTAGTTTTTGGTATCGAGGAGCTCTACAAATATAAAAAAGCTTATGGATAACTAATGAAAAAAAATTTGACTTTTAGGTTAAAGGAACAAACATTTTTTTAATTGAGAGTCCTTAAATTTGAATGTATCTAGGAAATGGCTGTAAAAAGTACCAACTCTAACAAACAAATTACCAAACTATTATACCTCTAAAAATAATGAGTGAGTATGAAATGGAAGTAAGAGAATGGATAACACGTGGATGGCAAAAACGATTCAACAAAAAGTGTAACAGTATCATTCCATTGATGTCAGTAAATCAGCGAAAAAATCAAAAGTACATCAGTTGATGGACTATCATAAGCTGAATCATGGTCTGCAGTACCAGGTTTTGCAGTGAAAGAAAATTGGTAGAGAACCTCGAGATAATTGATCTGAAAAAGACCTACCTACAGATTCATTTTGACAAAGTATTGTAAAATGATACAGCTCACATTAGTCTTGCAGATTTGGAAACTATGATCAAAGGACTTAAACCATCATTAAAATGCTAGGTCAGGTCTTTTGATCTGCAACATGATTTAAGACTCTGCAACAGTTGTTAGCTGGTTACATTCTTTAATCATTAGGTACAAATTGGTTTCAGTTCACTGGTTTTCTCAGATTGAAGATCTTGTGAAAGAATGCAATTTAATGATAAAATTTAGTCTAGTAAAGTCAGCAGAAAATAAAGCCAATGCTCTAACAAGGCTACCCCAGAACTGGCTGCATTTAACCTATTCTGCAAAGGTAGTTAATTTCATATAAGCTAATGTAAAGTTGTTTCATAATCTTCATCATTTTGGAATTAATTGAACACTTTATCTGATGAAGCAGACATATCCACAAGAAAATGTATCCAGAAAAGACATGATGACAGTTTTAAAAAAATTTTGAAAGATGTTTATTGGTAGATCCTATGTCGATTTGATGGAAGGAAGGTAGTCTTGAAGTTGAAAGCAGTTTGTATCATCTGGTGATTGATGTAACTTATTACGAGTCTGGGACTTATTTATCAATAGTCGCAGTAAAATAAGCAAATTTGCAATTTAGAGAAAATTATTAAACGAGAGAGAAACTACAGTGTGCTTTCATATAGAAGAAATAATCCAAGAAAGAAGATCTTCATGGCAAGTGCTAAGTACAATAGCCACACATTTCGCTCAAAACTCATGCATGAACTATCTACTGAGTGGGGAGTCAAAATAAAATTGTTAAACATCATCATCAACCAATTAGGCACATGGCAGTCAAGAGCGGAAAAAATCTGTTAAAGATGGTTTATTGGTATAATGTGGCACCAATAATAAATGGAGAAGAAACGTCTCTTCCCTATAAAGCTGTGTTCTCCTATGAGTGGAAACCACACACAGTCTTTTCCAAATTTAAAAAAAAAAATTCTCCATTGTTATATGCGATGACAAGAAGTATTTGTGAAGTTTACTGACTCAAAATGTACAAGCAAATGGAACAGAGGAATTGTCTCAGATGTAGGGTAAGTATTTCAGTGAAATTAGCAGACGCCTGCCCCGCTCCTGAGTTATCTGACTTAAGCACAAGTCAATCAAAAGAATCCACCATGGATACCCTCAGCGATTATAAAGAGTGCAGAAGTTCCTGGAAAAGTATGCGGAGTTTGTGATTTAGAGATCAAGGGGTGTTGTGATTAATTTTCTATTATTTGTGAACAACAAATAGCAACAGAGAAGCACATTTATTATTACAACTTTATAAAAAAAAAATACTTTCACACAAGCGCTTATGCAAATATATCTTTTTTGTATGCAAAAGAAAGACATTTAACAAGATTCTTAAACAAATCCTCTCTTACTACCCTCTTGCCACAAACCAACATGGCTTCTTTCCTGGTAAGTCATGACAAATGTATGGAAGGTGTTTGATTGGTTTATTAATATAAATTGGATCTTCACATAGTTCTAGTTTGATGGCCCATTTAATTAGAAGCATTTAATTTACTAATTTAAAAAATATATATAATATATTAGTTATTTAGAGGTTAGAGGCCAACATAATAAGTTTGTCTCAATGTAAAGATAACTTTTTTTTAAATCTATTGGAATTTTTTTTAAAATTTTAAATCAAACTTACATATACTGTCCAGTTTTTGCAATATCTTCTAAAATTGTATTTAGTATAGTCAGGTTAGTTTCCTTGGGTTGAAAGTCTAAAAAAAAAATAATAATATTTTAATATTTTAGTAAAGGCTATTTTAGTGAACAAAAAGGACTAATCTAACATATTAGCAAATGCTAAATATTATTATTAAACACTTAAACAAGTTAAAAATATAGGTATAAATCTTATGTTAATTTATATATAAAAACTTTATAAAACACTTTGCATAAATAGTTATAGTATTTAGTTCAAACATACTAATGCTGCAGATGTCTACTTATTTTAAAGAGATCAATTTAATTAAAACAATTTAAAATATAGAATAAATACATTTAACAGTGAATAAATATTTATATTTTTCACTGTTAAATGTATTTATTCTATATTTTAAATTGTTTTAATTAAATTAAAACAATTTAAAATATAGAATACATTTAACAAAGAAAAATATAAATACAAAAACATTTATTTACAATGTATACTTTGTATTTTAATTATTAAAAAGATTATTTGAAAATAATTCAAAACTTTTTTTTCGCTTGAATTTCAGATATTTGTCAGCACAGCGAAAAAAAATCTTTAGCATTTCCAAAAATTCATATTTAAATTGATTTAAATACACGTTTATTTGATTTAAGAATAAGTAACGAATTTTCTTATAGTAGGCTCAACCAGGGTAAAAAGAACTTTCCTGAGTTATATTCAAACTTATTCAAAATTAAAATTTTTGTTATCAAAATATGTGTGGAAAATGTACATTTGTATATTTGCAGGGTTGCCACTATAACTTTTAAAGTTTTTCCCTGAGTTTTCCTTGAGTATTCCCTGAGTAAAGAACGTTTTTCCCTGAGTTGAACTCTTTAAGTTCCCTGAGTTTTCCCTGACTTTTCCCTGACTTTTCTATATTCTTTCCTGTTCATCAACGAGATTATTTTCCTTAATTAAACAATCTTTATTTTTGAAAAACAAAAACTTTTACAACAACACCCACATCTTGCAAACTTATTATTATAAGTATTAGCAAAATCTTTTTGAAAAAAAAAATTATTGTACAAAATTTAAAAAAAAAAATTATTTTCCCTGAGTTTTCCCTAAATTTTATAAAATTTTTTAAAAATCCCTGAGTTTTCCAGGTTTTCCCTGGGATTCATGCTATTTCCAGTTATTCCAAATTTTCGAGGTTGAGTGGCAATCCTGATTTGAGTGAAATTACAATTTTTGTGATCAAAATGTGCGTAGAAAATGTACATGTATATTTGAATGAGAATCCAGAAAAATCACTAGGTCTTATGCTTCCTTGATTAAATAAGTCTCACAAATCCACAAGCTAAGGAAATTTGTATTCACGGCTGTTGCAGGTCGGATGTCAAAATTTCTTTAAGATGTTTTTACCCACAATATCATCAATGCCATCCTTCTCATGAAAAACATAGTATGGCCCTACTAGTGACTTAAAATTTATTAGTGTACAGATCTTCATCTGGAGTTTCAATCACAAGTCCGTAGAACTCATGGTTTATCTTTTTACCAGCATACTTCACCAGCACCCAATCACCAACAATTACATTAAAGCTGTCCTTTTTTTCAGCAACTTTCTCAACTTTCTCTTTTCAGTCTTTATTTTTTTGTTGGTTGAAAACACAACTTAACAACAATGAGATAGAGGCTCAAGCTTGGCAGATAGATGGGATCCAACAACATTTACAATGCGTTTTTAAAACTTGTCTAGAAGAGAAAGAGCATCATTAATGAATATGACAATAGTGTTCCATACATGGACAGATTTGTAAAGGTAGAGAATGAAATCAGGAGAGAAAAAATGTTGAGCATGCTAAAGAGAAACAACCTTAGCAGATGCTAATTTAGCAATTGATTGTATATATGGTTTTTATGAAAGGTCAGTAGTAAATGATAATCAAAGAAAACGTAAAGACAAGGACTTAGTGAGAGGGTTGCCATTCACCAATATAGAAATGTCAGCAGTACTGTGATAGTTGTTTCCAGTAAATAACTGGGTTTTATTAGAGTTAAAATTTACAAGCCACTGTGAGCCCCAATTAGTTACAGAAGTGAGATCAGTTTCAAGATCGGACAATAATTGGAGGGGTCAGAATGTTCACTAAAGTTTTTGTAAATTGAAATAGATGCTATTTTCCAACAGGCAGGAAAACAAGATTCACTCAAGCACTTATTAAATAGTTTAGAGAAAATTGAAGAGAGTTCTGGTAAACAATTTTGTAAGACTATGACAGGATTTTTGTCTGGACCACAAGCTATAAAAGAGTTTAATTGAGATATGACTTTAGCAAAGGAAGCTGGAATGGTTTGAATGTCTAACAATGGGTTAACCTGTTTAATTGGAATAAAAGGTAGAGGATGGCTGTAAGATTCAAGAGTCAAAATAGAAAAGTTCTTTGCAAATAGTTCAGCCTTATTCTTGAGAGAGGTAATAATATCAGTCCCATGAAAAAGAGATATCATGTTAGACCTTGAGGGTGAAAATCATGGAGTAGAATGAGTAGAAAATGAACACAAGCTAGGATCAGAAACCAGATATATATCAAAGATTGAAGATAATTTATTAGGGTTGTCAGAAATACGAGTCACAAAGTTAATTATCTGAGTAAGAGATTGAGAAATGCAGAAGTACATACAGAACACAAGCATACAGGACTGCAGCACTTTAAATAGAGATGCAGTAGATGTGTTACTGTGCCCAGAATCTCTGAATGTAAAACACTTGGTTAAACTTGAAGCATAATTCTGCATTCTTCTGACTTCATAAAATTCGAAACAGAAACAACTGGGTGTTGAATAGCTAAAAGCACAGCTAACGCAAACAATTAGGCATTCCTTATAATCAGTAAGAATGAGGATTCATCCAGAACCATCTCACCTCAAAGTTTGAACCACCCATCTCCTTGAAGATTCATATAGAATTTTCTTCTCCCTTGAAACTTTCTAAACCAAACCTCTTTGTTCAATGATTATGTGTATTAATGTGTGGCCAACTTTCATAGTTTGCATTTAAATAAATGTTAGGATTACACTTTTCATAAACAATAAATTATTAGAACAAAGAAAGTCATTATCATAAAAAAATATCTACTTTCAATAAAATGTCTATAGAATGTCAAAAACATGGCGTTTTTTAAAAACTTCATTTTATCAGCATCATTAAACTTTAATATACAATGCTCTATAAGTTGCCATTTCATTAAAAGAAAATAAGATATTATTGGTTATTATTTACCATTACTCCCTTTAAAAAAATTTTTTTCACTCCAAGGAACTTTGGTTATCTAATGATATACTGTTCAAAATATTCTTTATATCAAAGTTTAATGATACAATTAAATCATTTAACTTTGCATTATATTGAATATTGTCAAATGGAGTTTAGTATTGCATAAAGCTTTTGTTATTTTACATAAACTTTTTTATGAATAAAATAAAAAATGTTCTTTAAAATTACTATACAACATTAAAATCACTAATAAATCATCAAAAACATAAAATAGCATTATAAAAATAAATTTAAAAAGCGTATAATAAAAATTGTTGGACAAAATATATAAGATTTTATTGCCTTTCAAATACAGCAGCTGTTCTTCAATGTCATCTCGTTGAAACATTCTTTTTAATTCAAAGTAAACACATTGTTATTTAAATACATTGTATGTGTAAATGTGTGTGTGTGTGTGTGTGTGTGTGTCTGTGTGTGTGTGAATCTATATATATATATATATATATATATATATATATATATATATATATATATATATATATATATATATATATATATATATATATATATATATATATATATATATATATATATATATACATGAACCCTATACAATATCATATAGCATGGTAAAAATCATATATCATATAAATTATATGATATAATGGTAATAATAATAATGCTATTAACTAAAAAGAAGCATATTATGTTAAATACAGTAAAATATATCAACATCCAACAGAAAAATTTTTGATTACTTATAAAATAACAACTTTTTTGGAAAAAAAAAAGAACAAATAAAAACTGTAAGCTTGTGTAAAAGGATATTTGTCAACTAAATCTTAAGGAATTTTTAGTAAAGTACTTTATTTAGGTTAAATGAGGCATTTTATTTAAATGCAATGTTAATTTTTCTGGTATATGATAAAAATGCAAGAGAAAAATGTTTCTTTTTCAGCACAACTTAGATCAACTCACAAGAGATAAGTTTTAAAATAAAAAATAAAAATAAAAGAGTCTTTATATTTTTTATTGATTATTATTTTCTTTATTTAAATGTTTTTTACATTTTTGTACGAAATTTTATTCCCAAAATAATTTGGTTTTTAAAATTTTATCCCCAAAATAATTTGGTTTTGTGAAGTCCTCAATTAAATTTAGTTTTCTTTGACCAAAAGTTGTTATTTTTAGTATAAATATTAATAACCCTTATCATTGCAAATTAAAAGCAAATTTTCTCAGATCGTGTTGATATATTCAAAATGATTTAAGTTCTTACTTTTACAAAAAAGACTGCTTTTTTTTCCTAGCGTTATGCAACGACCATATCAAATCGAATTAATATGTTACATCATATAAAATCAGTATATAGAAATAAAGTTAAATATATTTTGTTTTATTTCATTAGTTTATCACTTTTCATATTACCTTTTTTTAATTTTTCAGAAATTAAAATAATTTAATTACAATAAGTTGCACGTAATGTATAGTAAAATATTAGGTTTTATTATCTCACAAAGATTCTCAGTAAAAAGTGAGAATATAAATAAATTAATGCTTTATGGCTGATTTTCATAACAAACAAAATATTTAGTTATTTAGAATAAGGGAAAAAAAAAAGATGAAATAAAAGGGAAATTGTATGCAATTGCATTAAAAGTGAGGTACTACGACCCCTCTACAAAAACCTCAAGATTTCAGACATATTTCGTGAAAACGCACGCTCTCAAATCCACAATAAAAATAGTTAAATTTTTTCAAATGCGTAACAACAATAAAATTATTTGTATGAAAATAATACTTGCGCAAATTGTAAATAAACAGTTTTGACCTTAAACTTGAATTTGGTCACGGAGGTTTTTGTCATTTTTTTAATTTAAATATAAAAGTTTATTTTTAAATCGCAACTTGAGCAATTTTCTTTTTATGTGCCAACTTAAATAAAAAAATTTAAGTAACTTAATAATTTAATTAAGTAACTTTAATAATTGAACTAATAATTTGGCCACCACTGTATATATTACAGTGCCGGACCGTACTATAAGGCAAATAAGGCAGCCGCCTAGGGCCTCCAACGTTTAAAGGACCCCCAAAAAATTGGAAATGAAGAAATTAAAATTGAAAAAAAAAAATTACTTTTTAATTTTTGAGGAAACATGCAATAAAGAAAAATATACAGTACTTACATCAATTTTTTCATGATTTCCTCTATAAATATTAATAATAAAAGTCACTTAAAATGTGAAGAAAAATAAATATATGTGGGTGGAGGGGAGGCCTCCACATCCATGTCTGCCTAGGGCCCCAAATTCCTCTACCTGGCACTGTATGTATATATATATATATATATATATATATATATATATATATATATATATATATATATATATATATATATATATATATATATATATATATATATATATATATATATATATATATATATATATATATATATATATATATATATGTATATATATATATATATATATATATATATATATATATATATATATATATATATATATATATATATATATATATATATATATATATATCCGTAATTTTTAAATGCTATATAAAGTAATCTTATCTGAGAAAAACTGAGAAAGAAATACAAAATAACAAAACTTACAAAAAAAAAATGCAAAATGTATAACAATGGTAATGTTGGCAAATGGATTGAGTCATTTTTCAGTAGCAGAAAACAACGAACAGTTTTAGGTAATCACTCTAGCGACTGGACAGATGTTTTAAGCGGAGTTCCACAAGGGTCTGTACTTGGTCCATCATTATTCATCATCTACATAAATGAATTAACGGATAATTTAAAATCAGTTGGTAAAATCTATGCTGGTGACACTAAACTGTTGCAAGAAATAAGACCTGAGTTTCACGATGCTGATTGTCTGATTCTTCAAAATGATTTAAACATTATCTCAGAGTGGTCAAAAGAATGGCTTATGGAATTAAATGTTGCAAAGTGTAAAGTTATGCACCTTTTTCATGGAAATATAAATCATGAATATGTATGAATGATGGTAATACATCTCTTATTATAGCGGCAACAGATATTGAAAGAGACCTGGGTATCTTTTTATCTAACGATCTAAAATGGAATCAACACATACAGGTTGCGACACGTAGAGCAAATATGATACTTGGCCTATTAAAAAAAATATTTAGATCAAGAGATATTAAGCTTTGGGGTAAACTATATACTACATATGTTAGGCCACACCTGGAATTTGGTGTTCCGGTATGGTTTCCTTACTTAAAGGGCGACATCAAAGAAATTGAAAAATTCAGCACAAAGCTACAAAAATTCCTCATAATATAACAAGTTTACCTTATGCTGAAAAGTGTCGGCGTCTCAATTTTACTTCTTTGGAAACTCGCAGGCGACGTGGCGACTTGATCCAACAGTTTAAACTTGAAAACGGTTTTGAAATTATTAATTGGCATAATCCACCTCTTCGCAGATCACCATCCAACGTACAAACGCGTGATTTCACTTACAATAATGCTCGACATAATTTCTTCACAAATCGTATTGTGAATGATAGGAATTATTTACAGTTGTCATGCAAAAAGGCTCCGTCAATTAACGCATTCAAAAGTAGAATTGACAAGTATTTTTTTCCTACAGCTGCAAACAAATCTTTTACTGAAGATGAGCTGCACGTTTTTTTTTTGAATTTGAATTTAATTAATTCGTGCTTTAGCAGCTACAAATTTTGACTTTTTAGGGACATTTGTCATAAACGTAAACTGTAATTAAATAAAAGCAAAAAAAAATAAATAAATAAAAAAAAATTAAAAAAAAATTAAAAATAAAAAAAAATAAAAAAAATAAAAAAATAAATAAATAAAAAAAATAAATAAAAAAATAAAAAATTAAAAAAATTAAAAAAAATAAAACAAAAAGAAATAAAAAAAATTAAAAAAAATAAAAAAATAAATAATTAAAAAAAATAAAAAAATAAAAAAAATAAAAAAATAAAAAATAAAAAAAAATAAAAAAATAATAAATAAAAAAAATAAATGAATAAATAAAAAAAATAAAAAAAATAAAAATAAAAAAAATAAAACAAAAAAAAATAAAAAAAATAAAAAAATAATAATAATAAATAAAAAAAATAAAAAAATGCTTTTGTTTTTTAATCTGTTTATTGGATTGTTTTTTTATTTATTTGTCATGTAATCTATAAAGACTTATTTAAATATATTACTATTGCTATTACTATAATACAGAAAAAAAAAAACAAGTGCCATCCTAATCTTCAAACGAAAGGTTCTGATTTTTTCAAAAACAAAATTTGAATCATGAAAAGATGTAAGTTGGATAAACTGAGATTATTCACCAAACTCAACAGAATTTAGTAGAAGCATATTAGAAAGTTTTATATGATATAAGAGGCCGGGTGAATAAAAACGAGCAACTGCTTTTGTTCAGAAATTGGTCAGCTTTGCGTGAATAAAAGCAGAATATAGTAGAAGCATCTTATATGGTTTTATATAATATAAGGTTTTATTGACTATTAGGTTCTTTATTTACTGATCAAAAAAGCTCATACATTGGTTGAAGAAGTTATACTTCCATGTACAAAAGAAATCGTTAGATTATTATTTGGAGATAGAGGGTATCAATTCCCGACCCAGGAAGGCGGGAAATTTAAAAATAATTTTCCGGATTGCTGGGAATTTCCCGGGAATAAATCCTTTAGAATAAACACTATATCATCCTATAAATAAACACGACTCTAACTTTTAGTATGAAAACGACATTCATTTTTAAAATGTTATTTTAAATTTGACGACAATGAAATACTCTCTCGCTTTCTATTGAGGTAGGTTGTATGCAAGTTAAGGCATCAAGTAGCTTTTTTAAATTATTTGTAATATTTCCAGTATTCTCATACATTTGAAATTTTTTTTAAGGACTTTGTTAGAATCTTAAGTTATAGAACACTTTTTAGGTTTAATGCTGCATTTTTATCTATTGTCAATCTCTCTTTAATATTTGTAACAGTTAAGCAATTATTTTCTTTAAAGGATTCACTTTCAAAACGAATATCAACATCTTCACTGAATTAAGTCATTTGCAAAACGAATAATTGCAACTTTTTAAGATGAAGGTAGCTCAGGAGTAGCAGTTGAATGTGAATCCGCGTTTAAAGGTATGTAATTAAAGTCATAAGATCTTAATTTCTTCACTCTTTAACGCAAAGAGACAAAGCTAGCAACATCTCCTCTGAAATTGCATCATTGTTGTTACGCAGGGAGTTAAACAAAAAATTTAAAATTGCATCAGCTGTTAGCGAATTTGCATCACGTTTACCTTATGCTTCTGCAGCTATTTTAATTGGTTGAAGAGCGTTAAAAACATAAACATAAATATCGTTAAATAGCTCAGGGAGTTCAACTCATTTACTGTTTTTTTCACTTTTCCTTTTTTTTTAAAAAATCTTTCAACCATTGTAACAATGCTATTCCATCTGATCCGGCAATCTAGCAGTAAATTAAGTTCAATCCCGTGTCTACTTTTACATAGTCTTGTAAAATGATTAATTATTTTTCTAATCGTTTGTAAAGCTGTATTTACATCTTCTCTTTCACATATTTGCGGTTCAAAATTGTTTAGATTATCATTTTTAGATTCGCTAATGTTACCGTTAGAAAATCTAGATTCATTTTCTAAAGAATCAATGTGATTCAAAAGAATCAGTGGCTGGATAGCTCAGTTGGCTAGAGCGTCAAACGAAAAGTTAAACTATTGAACGGACTATTGAACGATAGGAGTTCAAATCCTGCCACTGCCAACTCATCGCTTGAGTAGTACTTTGGTACGCAAAAATGTTAGTCAATAACGGACGCTACTTTGAATTAGTCTTAATGACTATTTGTGGCTTCATATGCTAAGCCAAAAATATCTTTGGATATTAGAAAAATATAGCACGAAAAATTCAAATAAATAAGTAAAAAAAAAAAAAAAATGTGAAGCACATTAAAATTTTCTTTTCTTTTATAAATAACGTCCATTACAGCCAAGTGTATGCCGCGCTTATTACATAATTGGTGTATAAAAGCAGATAATCTACCAAGTTTGATTATTACTGCAGCAGCAATCAGTGGTTGACGCAACAATATCTGAAGAGGTAAACTCTGATAGTTCTCTTTAACTAGGCGAATTGCAGCCGTACAGCTTCCATGAATTTTAACCAGTCCTAGATTAACAAATAATTTATTGAAATGAACATTGATACTCAAATATCTTCGATTGCGTAGACTTGTCCATTCATTAAACGTTAGACTAAACTTTCCACCTATTCCTTATGTGAATTTATTTTACTAATAAATTCATTTTTTGCCATAGCACAATATTCATGAATTAGTTTCATCACATT